GAGGGGAGGTGTGTGTGGGGGTCTCTCACCTACAGACGCGGCCAAGGAGAGCGCAGAGGGATGTCCCTCGGGGGCAGCGGTGTTCTGGGGGCTTTCCTGCCTTCCCCACGGAGCTGGGGAAGGGTCTGGAGCACAAGTGTGCTGAGTTCCCGGCTGAGGGAACTGGGGTTGCTGAGCCTGGAGAAAAGGAGGCTGAGGGGAGACCTTGTGGCTCTGTGCAAGTCCCTTGGAGGAGGGTGGAGAGAGGTGGGGGTGGGTCTGTCCAACCAAGGAACAAGAGACAGGACAAGAGGAAATGGGCTCCAGTTGTGGCCAGGGCAGTTGAGATGGGATGTGAGGAAGAATTTCTTTGCTGAAAGGGTTCTGAGGCATTGGAAGGGGTTGCCCAGGGCAGTGGTGGAGTCCCCATCCCTGGAGGGATTGAAGAGTCGTGTAGACATAGTGCTGAGGGACATGGGTTAGTCATAGGGGACTGGTCAGTGTTGGGTTCATGGTTGGACTCGATGAGCTTAAAGGGCTTTTCCAATCCAGGCCATTCTGTGATGATAACCTAAGCACTGTCAGGGTAGAATGAAGATATACCATTCAGTGATTTGCTTTGCTTTTTTTTTGCTTTGCTCTGTTGTGTCATCTTTGTATTTCTGCCCTCAGGTGAAAGCGGGGCTGGGAAGACTGAGGCCAGTAAATACATTATGCAGTACATAGCAGCCATTACCAACCCCAGTCAGAGAGCAGAGGTGGAAAGGTAAGGGCTTTGCAGAGAACTAAGGTAAGGGCTTTGCAGAAAAGTAAGAAAAATAACAAAAACTTGTTCTGTTTATGAATTTCTTTCTGTGGACTGTGTGGGACCATGTGATGAGATGGTCTCTTGTACTAATTGCATGCTGATTTTACAGCATTTACCTAACTTCTTCAGATACTACTTTTACTCTACAGCAATATCGATTACTACATCATGTTAAAAAGTTTATATTCAAAATAAAAACAGTATTTACAAATCACATTTCCTGTGGCAAATTGCCTGAAATGTGTGTACGTTAGAATAGCATGTGGAGTGAGGAGCATATTCCATGACCTTTAAGACTTGCATGCTCCTGAATTGCAAAATGTCCCTGTCAGCCTTACAGTAACAGTTTTTGAACAAAGAATGTGACTTTCTGCTGAAACAGACTTAACACCTACTCTGACCAGTTCTCCCCACTAAAAACATTCCTTGATTTCAACACTTACGTATGTAAAAGAACTGAAATGTTGATGTTATTTTCAGTGGAGATCTGATCTTTGGTTCCCATTTGCTCAGCTCTAAGGAACATTTCCAAAAGCTCCCAGCTGATTTCCATGGGATTCCTAATGTCATACACATCTGCCCAAATATGTCATCAAAGAGCATCTCTGCTGTTACTAAATTCTTCTCTAGAAAGACCTGTGAAAAAAAATAAAATTCCATGGTTTGAGTGTACAAGTCTGGACTGACCCTGTTCTCTTTTCCATTTATCTGTACTACAGAGTGAAGAACATACTCCTGAAATCCAACTGTGTGTTAGAGGCCTTTGGCAATGCCAAAACAAACCGTAATGACAATTCCAGCAGGTTTGGAAAATATATGGATATCAACTTTGATTTTAAAGGAGACCCAATAGGTGGCCATATCAATAATTACTTACTAGAAAAGGTAAGTCATGCTCGCTTTTAGAGACAGAGGCTTTTGTGTAGTTACTTTTGTAATCGGTGTTTTGCCAACAGAAATTTTTCCTTGCAAATGTCGTGTGTCATTTGTGTGTCATTATGGGGGCACAGAACCTCATTTAAATCTAAATTTTTCTCCAGTAATTACTACGAGTAACTGAAATGCTGCTGAAGCACTGGGACTGCCCTGTTACTTTTACACCAGTGCTTTCAGAGCTCACTGTCTAAGGGACTAGTGTTACTCAAGAGCTTACGTGCGTGTAGGTGTATGTACTTTGTATCCAGAATAAAAGATGAGATTAATTTAACGTCTGCAAAACTCCTTTGTAAGTTCCCACATTGAGATCTCACTGGTGAATAAAAGAGGATATCTAGATCTGTAAATAGCATCGGTATGCTTGAGGAGTGTTACTCTGGAATAATGCCACAGCCTTGTGTGATCTTTTAGTAGCTTTGGTTTTATGTATTCCAGGTCTTCCTGAGCATTTTTTTTTCATGTCATTAAATGATGGCTGAAAATACTGGAATATGTAAAACTGTTGAGAAAGTGAGCTTAATCTATTAACAGTTCTCATAATGTGTGAGACACACGTCTGGCTTTGATTTATGTGTTTGACCACAGCTGCTCACATGCTTTTTTCTTTGTGTTTTTTTACTTTTCCCATTATTTCCCTAAAGCCTATTTTCAGAATAAACAATTTATTTAAAAAAAAAATCAAAGCAACCAAACCAAACATTTAACATCTGATACTTTCATGCAAAAAAAGGGGTGGGGCTGCAGCAGCAGTGACTTAAATCCTGATCATTTATTTCATATTCTTGACTTCTACCAAGTTAAATTTGTTTCTGTCATGAGAGGAGTTGAGGTTCTGGTCCAGACACAGGCAGTTAACAGACATTGACTTTGCACTGCAGCAGGAACACAGACCTGGTCACTCTCTTGTGTATATGTGTGTATATATACGTAGCATAAAATAAGGAGACATTGCTTGTTGACTGAATTTTTGCTGCGGTTAGCAGGGGTTTTTTGTGCTGTTTTACACTCATTTGGAATGAGTGCTCTGAAGATGGAGCTGTCCTTGCTCCCTCAAACAACATCCTTGTGATAAAGCAGAGTGTTCCTGTGTACGGCAGTTGGGTGCTCTTGGTCAGCCTGTCCTGGGCTTGTAGAAGTGGCTACTGTGAGGCCGTGACTATGGCCCATAGAGCGTTGCTTTGTAGTCAGAATCCTGTTTTTCATTTCCAGTGATTAAATAACTCTTAAACTAAAATGATGTTTTATTTGAGTCTTCCATGAAAGCGATTCTGTAGTTGCCACATGGGATTCCTGTTTGGAAGTAGGACGTTGCAGCTGTTACACAAGCTGGTCTTTTTGATTATAGACTTGAAACTCCATGTTCTCACCTAGTTAATAATGGTCACAACAGACTTAGTGTGAGATAAGATTAGTTTGGAGGTGTCCGAGCAGTGGTGAACCAATGCATTGGTGTCTAAGGGGAGGTGCTGGGGAAGGAGACCATCCACATCCAGAAATACCTAATATTTTAAAATATTAAATAAAATACCTCTTGCCTTTTGTTTCCCTGCAGTCCCGTGTGATTGTGCAACAGCCGGGAGAACGAAGCTTTCATTCTTTTTACCAGGTTTGTATTTGTTTGCTGAAGCAAATGACTTTTTACAACTTTCCCAGACACAATAGGCAAAATATTTAAAGCTTTCGCCCACTCGTGTGTTTTGCAAAGGATTCCCTTGTTGTTGCATCTTGGGTGACCTCAGGTTCTCTACTTCTTCGAAGAGGCCTGGTCTGGGGAAGGAGCATGGGAAGATTTATTTTTTTCTGTCCTCCAGTCCCATATTAACACATTTGTAAACTTAAAAGGAGGCTAACTAAACAAATATGGTGGAGCATTAGACTCTGACTCACTGTTTTATTTGTAATAAGTCTAATCCCTCTATTTTCTCATGAGGCCTTTAGTCCATATGGAAGTAATTTTATGACACCAAACTGACTTTCTTTTTTTTTCTTTATATTCTTTTTAATGTCTTCCATATTGAATGGTGGTTCCCTTGTGTGTCCTTTGGGGGAAATGGTTGGCCTATTAGTATAACCTTTATTCTCAGGATTGCAGTGAGGAAAACATAGGTTTGTTTATTTTGTTCCCACTTACTCAGTGCTCCATGATGGCATGTTAGCACCTCTCATGAATGTGTAATTTCTGTGTTGGAAAGTCTCTGCATGTAGCAGAGAAGGTAAATGTGTTTGCCAAGACCCATCTGTGCCATGTCACAGATGTAAATGTGTCTGGTCTGTGAAGAGCTTCAGGCTTGTTTTCTAAACAGTTGTGTCACTCACAAGGACAGTCATTTGGGCAACCTCTCTCTGGTGGTCAGAGCCCTACAACGACCCAGACTGTGTATTTTGCATGTTGTGTTTGTGACTCCAGACACTGTAATTGATTCTTCTGTAGCAGTAACTTCATGTTTTTATGATTTTGCTTGCCAAGCAGATGAATAAGTAACAGGAAAAGGAAGAATTTTATTTTTTCGTTCACTGTTTCTTAAAATCTTTTTTTGTACAGCTCCTGCAGGGGGGTTCTGACCAGATGTTACGTTCTCTACATCTTCAGAAGGACGCATCTGCATACAGCTATATCTGTCCTGGAGCACAGCTAAAGGTGAGGGTGTTGTCAGTGAGTTAGAGGTGATTTGTCTTAATATTATAAATGCTTCTTGAAATATTTAAAGTACTGCTGAGCTAGCAGAAGATGAGACCAATATTTATGGGATGAATATGGAAAGGTGACACCAAGGTGTCATTTAGCACCAAAGGCGCTATTTTTAATGGAGTTTCTGGCCCTAGAAGACAAGTATATGTGTAGTTGTGCCCACCACATTTGTGTATGTGTATAAAAACAACCAAATGTAGTAGAAGAGACATCACCTTGGTTAGTAAATGCAGGCATAGATATTTGACCTGCTACCAGTGATAGACTTTTCATGCTTCATAATGGGTGACTTAAGCTGCTTTCTGGACCAAAAAGCCATAAGGACTCATTTTTTTAGAGTAGGAGCATTTAAGTTACTGAAGCATTTGTTCTTCATACATGACTTTTCCTTAAGGAGACCTCTGAGCAGGAAAGAAGGGAACAAGCCCATGAAGTTTTTAGGACAACGAGATCCTGAACACTTTAAGTAGAGCTGGAGTTGTCTCTAGTGTTGTTCCTCTGAAACAGGGTCTAGACAAAAGACTCTCTGATTTCCTAATTGCTTTCTTGAGATGCTCTTTAGCCAACAAACCCACAGACCTTCTCAGATGCCTTTATCAGTTTCTCTAGAAACCTGCAATGAGAACAAAACCAAATGACTGGGAGAGGAGGGAGGCAGAGACGTGACCAGAAATTTACTGTTGGTACTCTGCAGCTTCTCAGAGGGTCTGTGACTGCACTGCTTGTAACTTGTCCTGATTTTTTTATGAATCGCTTCTACTCTTTCACAATAAATTCCACTAGCAAAGTACTGAACTATTTAATTGTGCTGTGATGGATTTCTGAATCTCCTTGCTGCTGGTATATGTGTGTGTCCAGCGTGGGGTTCAGTGTACAAGCATACAGTGTGGTATTAGAAAAAGCTGAGAAATTTCCTGACAGTGTCTTTCATCTGAAAACTACCAAAGTACATGTCTCTCTGCCATGGGCTTGCAAAATCTTTACTTTCTCACAGCTGACTTCCACTAAACCCCTCATGTCCCAAATGTATCTTTCCCTTCAGTGTTCCATCAACGATGGTGCAGAGTTCAAAGCAGTAGCTGATGCCATGAAGGTGATAGGCTTCAAGCAAGAGGAGATTCAGACTGTTTACAAAATTGTGGCAGCCATTCTTCACTTGGTAAGCTCCCTGCCCACAGTTAGGCTGTTCTTCAGGAGGGGTCAAGCAGTAGACTTTTACTTCCAGCAGTTCTATTTTTCTTGCTGCAGAAGCAGTTGGAAGGCCAGGCTGGATGAGGCTTTGAGCAACCTGGTCTAGTGGAAGGTGTCCCTGCTGCTTGCAGGGGGGTTGGGACTGGATGAGCTTTAAGGTCCCTTCCCACCCAAACCAGTCTGGGATTCTGTGATTCTATGATCTGTTGGCTGGAAAAGTGTATACAGTTTACAACTGCTAGTGGTGAGTGATATTCCTTGATGAAGTGAGACACTGCAGTAACGATGGAAGATCACATTTATTCTTGCATATTCCAGATGTCAAAACAGACATACCACTAAGTACTGGGAGCTGTTAAATGTTCTGAAAAGGAAGTGTTGAGGTTTGGCAGTGAGGCTCTCTCCTCACTATCTGTCTGTCCCCGTTTGCCCTCACACTTGCCATCACCCCTGTGATTTTGCTGGAGGGATAGTGCTTCACTTCGTGGTGAAGATACCAGAGACCTCTTATTTGTCTGTGTTCTGATGCTAAGGAAGTACTTCCTTCACCCATATTCTCCTGGGACCCACAGATCCTCCTCCCCTGCACAATGTCCTTGTACCTCAGATCTTATGTTTCCTTCAGGAGAGAGGCACTGCAGGTGGGCAGGAGGAAGATGGCAAAGAGAACAGTAGCTTTTTTTACCATTTTTTCTCTTCCTTGGAGTAGTTGTGCCCCAGTGCTGGGCAGGGAATGAAGGCAGAGTCAGGAGTGGTATTGCTTCTTCATCCTGGCATGGCAGCTGTTCAGTACCAAAGCTGTTGTGCTCCAGTCCTGTTAGCTGTGCTGACTTGGCAGCTTCCCTGGAATATTCCCGTTACCTTTGCGGACAACAGCGTTGCAATAAGAACTGCAGCCTGGCATTTCTGTGGCGAGCTGCAGTGGCAATGAAATGCTACATCCAGCACTTGTCTACTTAATGTTATTACCCACCACTAGACTCTGAATCTTGGGACAGTGTTTGATTAAACCTCTGGAAGTGTTTGATGTAATTTTTTTCCCAAAAACTGAGCTAAACACTGAGTAGAAATGCTTTTCTTTGAGTCAGGCTTTGCTGCTTCCACTGATGTTGGAGCTTCGTGGGTACGTGGATATTCAAGGCCCACCCTTCTAATGTGTTAGGAGATTGACTGACTTGAATAGCAGGTGGAATGTGGATGAACTTGGGGTGTACTGATTCATAGCAATAAAAGACAGATCAGGAAATCTAGGTTCTTGCTACTTATTGCAGGGGAACTTGAAATTTTCTGTGGATGGTGATACGCCTGTAATAGAAAATGGCAAAGTTGTGTCGATCATCGCAGACTTGCTGTCAACAAAATCTGACATGGTGGAGAAGGCTCTTCTGTTTCGAACTGTAGCTACGGGTCGGGATGTCATTGACAAACAACATACTGAACAAGAAGCCACCTATGGCAGAGATGCCTTTGCAAAAGTGAGTTTAAATTTCCTTTCTCTGCATCTGATTCTGTACGTGACAGGAATTCAGACACATTTCTTTTGCTTTTGCCTTTTGGTTGAGTTGTACTTGATGCAGCGAAGAATGACGATGTCTGAGGAAAGCATTCAGTAGTGAATTTCCTTCATAACTGCACATTTTTGAGTGCTCAAGTCCCAGTAGGATTCCTGGGTGGATCAATAAGTGTAGTGCTTGCTGAGACATGGGAAGTCTGTATTTTATATAGATTTATTTCTGAATGTATGTGCTCCTGTGTTCCATAGGGGGATTGCAGAGCAGCACTGTCCCTACCCATCCCTGGCTATGACACAGCATGCGCCGCAGCCAGCAGTGCTTGTGGCACACACAAGAGGGGAGGGAGCTGCAAGCCTGGCATCTGTAAAAGGAATACATTGTACAGGGCTGAATGTTTTGTGAAATGTCATTCTTTACTCCATTTAGCAGTTAAATTCAAAGAGTGGAGAGTTAACATCTCTGCTGTAACATCTAGGACTCAGGTTGGAAACCCAAAGTGCTATCTTTTTTTTGTTGTTTTTTTTTTGGAAAGGTGGATACTGATGACAGGAGTGACAATTGTCCTTCCTTTGCTAAGAAATCAAATGATAAGGGAAGAACAGATGAAGTTAGAAAGATCCTTGATTATTAACTTGACTTTTTTTTCTAAGAGTACATGTTTGCCCAGCTTTGCAGTACGTTTGGAACATGTAGACTTCAAAGACACCTATGACTACAGAACATTTTCTTTTTGAAAGGTGAACAGGAATATTTTACTGCCATTGTGTTGGGTTGTTAGGTTTCTATAATTGACCTCTCACTTGCTGTTCAAGTTTGTTAAATAATCCTCAGGAATGGCAGTTATTAGGCAGCTGAAAAGGAAACTGGAGTCAAATTAGGGGAACCACTGTAACTAGTCACCTCACTAAGATTTAAACTTTGTGTAAATGAGTTTTGGGAGAAAAAAAAAAAAATTCATAGACTATTTTCTGTGTGTCAGTAGCTGTTCCCTTCTAGCAGAGTTATCTGTAGCTTTTGTGTAGTTAGGGCAGCATCTTGAATTAAGCTTTGTAGCACCACGTGTCGCGTTTACCAGAAAGAACTGAGACAGATGCAGGCAAAATTGCTCAGTGTTTGTTTCCTGTCAGGCTATCTACGAGCGCCTCTTTTGTTGGATTGTGACACACATCAATGATGTGATTGAAGTGAAGAACTATGACACTACAGTACATGGGAAAAACACCGTCATTGGCGTCCTGGATATCTATGGCTTTGAAATATTTGACAATAACAGGTGAGCTATGTTGTTAAAGCACAGTGCTGTGCTTTCTCCTTTCCCAGAAAACTCATCACTTTTTTTTTTTCTGATGTTTTTGCAGTTTTGAGCAATTTTGCATTAATTATTGCAATGAAAAGCTACAGCAGCTCTTTATTCAGCTGGTTCTAAAACAGGAGCAAGAAGAGTATCAGCGAGAGGGAATTCCTTGGAAGCATGTGAGTGACTTGGCAGGGGAGGGAGAGGTCGGTTTGAGGTCAGTGTACCAGCATCAGTCCCAGATCTAAAGTTGCTCCACATGTATGCTCCTGTTGAAGTCAATGGGACATCTGTGTCCATGCCAGCTGTGCTGTCAGACTTGCTCTCTGGAAATCAAGCTGTGGAAGAAACGAACCAATTATCTCACAACATTTCTTTATTTGCCACGGTGTGGAAAAATAAGTGACTCCAGGTCTGAGTTAAAATCTATTGTGGCATCTCTGTGATGCCACACACATTACTGTGTGTTTCTGTTCTGAGTCCTTATGTGTTTTGTTTGGTTATAGATATTCAGATGTAAAAATTTTGAGTTCTCCCATTCAAATTCCTTTCACAACACCTAGGACAAGATGTGCAGTTTTCACCGTGGTGACTGTGCACAGATGAATTTTAAAAGACATACTGCATTCTGTGGCTGCTGATTTTTAACAGGGATCTTGAGATTAATGTGAGCTGAGTGAAAGATCACCTTCTCTGCTTAAATTTAAGTTAGTGATCAACATACTGAAAGCTGATTGCTTCTCCTCTGAATGGTGGGCTCCATTCTTTCTGTCAGACACACGGTGCTGTTCGTCAGTGGCCAGCACCAGTACTCCTCTCCTTCACTAGCCAAAGTCACAAATATACCTGTTCTTTGTGTTTTACAGATTGATTACTTTAACAATCAGGTGATTGTGGACCTGGTAGAGCAGCAGCACAAAGGGATCATTGCCATTCTGGATGATGCCTGCATGAATGTTGGAAAAGTTACAGATGAGATGTTCCTAGAGGCTCTTAACAACAAGCTAGGGAAGCATGCTCATTTCTCCAGCAGAAAGGTAACGTATTCCTCTGTACCCTCAAAACCTGCTGCCTTTCCTATGTGATGCCTTTTCTATTTTCTTTTAAGGTGTAATGGAATAAGGAAAAAGACTTGAAGGGTGGCTGGAGTTGGAATCATTGCCATCAATTGTGAAATGAAATGAAATGCCTGAGAGCAGCAGCAGCAGCAGCTCCTGACCGCAGAACAGGCTGTCTGCTCTGGGTTTAGATTGTGCCTTGGGTGGCCCCATACCCGGCAGAGGGAGCTCAAGTATGTCCAATGTGAGATCAGTTTTATTCCAGGCATAAAAGAAGCGTGAGCTCGTGCCTTGACATATCATGATGTCATTGGTAACCAATTGATGTGCTGTTTCAACCCACGTGATGTTCTTTCCAGGCTGCTCTAATACATAGTGACAGTGAAATTATTCACACTTCTGTTTTATTACAGCCCTGTGAATTATTTTTTTTTTGTCATTGGCTACAAAACATATTCATCTCATATTGTACCTATGATCATCCAGGCCCCTCCACTCGCTTTGTTTTTGCTACAATATACAAATTAAAAGGCTTTATTTATTCCTCGCTTGGCAGCATATTGAAAACATGATCATCAGCCTGATTAATTTGAGAATATTTCACTCTGAGTAATCAAATAAGAGCCTTTAATTTATTGATGTCTCTCTCCTCAGAAATGTTGTTTGAAATACATCATTCAGAGTGCTGGTTCCCCCCCCCCCTTCTCCCTCCCACCCCAGTACAGTATTTTATGTAGGTCAGAAATACAAAATTAGCATGGTTGTGTAAGAGATGTGCTAAAGGCTGCCTCCGGGGAGGCTGCATCTAAACAATAGAGCTGGATGTGGTTTGTTTAGATAGAGGCTGGGGGGGAAAAAAAAATGAAAATAAAATAACCACTTTTTCCTCCCAGATGTGGCTTTCCTGAAGTGCCCTTTAGCTGCAGCACATCTGTCATCTCAGCTGAGGGAGGGGGACGGGGAATCTTGCGCTTTCCCTCTTCACCTGGATTTTACGCATGCGTAGTATGTTCTGAGTAAACTCACCTGAAAACAAGTGTTTTCATAAAGCCTCGTCTGGGTTTCTACATTTTAATGCAAATTACTTTTCTTTAGTAGTACTAATGATTATGAATAGTGCAGCCTGAGGGGATGGATGTCTTAAATCCTCTGCAGTGGGGTAATGTGGGAAGTGGTCCAGTTTCTGGAGCTGTCTAGTCAGTGGATGTCAGCTGGTAGAGAAAGGAGTTCAGTTTCTATCTGTCCTTGGTCCCATGTCTGCTAAGATGGAGCAGTTCCCTCCCAGAGAGAGCAGGTAGTGCTTTGATACAGTGGGGAAGAGGACTGAATTTCATGAAGCATGTGGGAGGCTATAAAATGAAAATTAAAAAAAAAGTAATAATAATCACAGAATCACAGAATCACAGAATGTTGGGGATTGGAAGGGACCTCAAAGATCATCCAGTCCAACCCCCCTGCCAGAGCAGGAACCTCAATGAGATCACACAGGAAGGCGTCCAGGTGGGCTTTGAATGTCTCCAGAGAAGGAGACTCCACCCCCTCCCTGGGCAGCCTGTCCCAGGGCTCTGTCACCCTCACTGGAAAGAAGTTTCTTCTCAAGTTGAAGCAGATCCTCCTTTGTTCCAGCTCACACCCATTGCCCCTTGTCCTACCATTGGGCAGCACTGAGAAGAGCCTGGCTCCATCCTCCTGACATTCACCCTTAACATATTTATAAACATTAATGAGGTCACCCCTCAGTCTCCTCTTCTTCAAGCTGAAGAGACCCAGCTCTCTCAGCTCTCTCTCCATTGGAGTCCTTACCTTCAGGAGTCCCTGCACAGTGTAGGAAACATTAAAATATTGCCAGTTGCAGCGTTTCTCAGTAGGGGGTGGCATTGTCAGAAAACTGTTTACACAGACTGAGGGGGGAAACAAGGAATGCTGCTATAAATAACGTTTATGGAGGGTATGATGTATCATCCTGGCTTGCTAATTTCTAGTTTAAATCAATATAGCCTTGAAAGAATTGATCCATAAAACTCTCAGCATCGTAATTATTTTTTCCCCTCTCATGTCTTTGCAGATGTCCTTTACCGTTATCTAAGATACTGGACTGGATGATCTTTTGAGGTCCCTTCCAATCCCTAATATTCTGTGATTCTGTGATACCTTCCTCAGTCCCATCTAGAACTGCTGGAGGAAGCCTGATCTTTCCAAATCAGCCTCTTCTAGCTTGAATTAAAGCAAAGGACTTGATGTCATGTCATCATTTGCCTTTGGAGACTGCAGTAGTTCTGTCCAGATACTCTGAAGTTCAGCGTAGAGAGAAGCTGTTCCTAAAGAGTTAAAGTTTGTGTGCTGATGTGTTCTGGGAACACCTCCCATCTTTCAGCCTGAGTTACTGCTTCACCACTCCCCTGGAGAGCCAGAGTTGCACACTGGCTCCATGTGGAAAAGCTCTAAGGGACTGCTGTGCCCTAAATAGTGGTGGCCTAGTTTGTCTACTGCATGTCTGATCTACAGCTGTCTCCTTGGTCGTCCCAGTGAAAGCCAAACAAACCAAGAAAAATAGTGGCAAACACTTCCACTGTGAGGATTTGTGGCAAAATTTTATGTTCCTAGAGTAAGCGTTGTCCTTCTCTGAATTGTCTAGAGCCAGTCTAGATCTGTAGACACACTAACTGTTCTGATACTTCTCAACATCATGGTCAATACTCAGCCTCTTCAACTTCTGATTTTTTCAGTTGATCTTATACTTTCAAAGGATCAAGTGCAGTGATAGACAGTTGGGAATTCCTGAGTCTTCCTAAATGATATAAAGTGTCAATTTCCACAAACTGATTGTGAAGGGAAGGATATGTGGAGGTCTGTTCTAGGCCACCTGATGTAGCATCTTCCAAGACACTAGGCAATGGTGAAGATCTAAGTGAGAGAATAATATGGGACAAACAGGTAATGATAACTTGAGATGCTCCCAGTCTCCAGTGGTCTGCAGTCCAGGAACCTCCTGAATCAAGGCTGGTGTCCTTAATAGTATTTTTGGTTTTGATTTTGTTTTTTTAAATTGACAAGGAATTCCACAGTTTAGATACTCACGTGAAGAGCTCCTTCCTTCCTGTTTTCCTTCCTCCTCCCTTTTCCCATTTAGGTTACATCAGTTGCCTCCTAGTTCTTGAACAGCAAAACACTATTCACTGTGTCCTCCAATACATCATCTCCGTGTCATTTGCCCTTGTCTCCTGGAATTGCTTTCTTAACCTGAAGAGACTTAGTTCATTTGGCCTGTCCTCCTGTAGCAGTCAGTCAGTGCTGTTGATTGTTTCCACCCTTCATTTTGCCCTTCTTTCAGTTCTCCTGCGTCCTTTTGGAGATGGAGGGTAGTTAAGGTACTTGTTGGGTTGGGCATGGGCAGTTTGGGGCCCATCATTTGCTATGAACTTTGTTTTTTCTCTCTTTGTATCTTTGTGTTTATGTTGAATTTCTTTTGCTCTTTTTTGCCGTTATTTTAGCCTCTCATGTCTTATAGAATCATAGAATCCCAGACTGGTTTGGGTTGGAAGGGACCTTAAAGCTCATCCAGTCCCAACCCCCCTGCCAGCAGCAGGGACACCTTCCACTAGACCAGGTTGCTCAAAGCCTCATCCAACCTGGCCGAGAACACTTCCAGGGAGGAGCAGCCACAGCTTCTCTGGGCAACCTGGGACACTGGCTCACCACCCTCACAGTGAAGAACTTCTTCCTCACATCTCAGCTCCATCTCCCCTCTGCCACTTTCAAGCCAACCATTGTCTTTACTTCCCTGAATAATTAAGTACCACCAACAAGCTTGATCACCTTCCTATTACCCTCCGCTCGTAGCTCACTTAAGATGATGTTAACAGTGCAGACCTCAACATAGGCCCTGGCAGTTTCTCATCTTTCCAGCAGTTACCTGTGTGAAGACCTTTCCTCTTACCTTTCATAGCAGCTTAAATTCTTTGAGCTGCTAGTGAGGAACCTTGTGAACAAGGCTCATAGAAATCCAGGCAGACTATCAACTTATCAGTTGTATCAAAACACTCCCTGTTTGGGTGTTGGGTGTTGGTTTTTTTTTTTGGTCTGTTTTTCTTTCTTTATAATTTCAACTGATTTGCCCAGTAGACGTGAAGTTCAGAGAGAATCCTTAAAATCCCAACACCTAGCATTGTGTTAGGCCACCTTCCAGTCTCTCCAGTACTGGATGAGTTTTAAGTGAAGCTTGTGCTGCCAACCCTGTCCCATCTGGTAGCAACAGTTGCTTCATTTCATTATGTTTTTGCTTGTTTTACACCTCTTCTATTGAGGCGTTGGTTGGAGATGTATGGTTTGAGTGTTTCACAGAAGACATTCCGTTCTCTGTAGCCTCTTGCTGGTGAATGCAGCTGCAAAAAGAAAAATGACTTTGTTTTCCTGGTATGACCTCATTTCTTCATTTTCTCTGTGTTCCTTCTGCACCTTGGTCATCTATCAGCTCTGCAGACCCTGGCCTGCTTCCTGCTCTTACTGTGCTGGATTTCTTATACCTTTGTAATTTCATATTTCATATAGAATGTTGTTAGTGGAATGATCATCAAATCCAGCCTTTTGTGTACCTTGTTACTCAAACTTTTTGGTTTCCTCCTTGTGATTTTTTTTTT